TTTTTTTTGTGTTCACATTCCAAATGCCATAAAAATCACCAAGTTTCGAACCATTGCGATGAAGCTGTTATTATTTAAAATTCAAAACAGAAAATATTTCGGTCAAAAGTGACCGAAGAGCACCAGAGGGTTATGGTTTAAGTTTATGGCCCACCTAACTCGGAAACTGGAGTATCAAAATAATCTTTGAGTAGTAAATACGACTTGAGAAGCCGTTCATGTCCAATTTCTGATTAGGAAACTCGTATTTCGGATAATTACGAAAATAGATAGCACGTGAAGCCAGCATAAGCGCAATATGAGTGCAGGCCAGCGGGGGAGGGGGGACAATCGCGCTCGGGCTTGGTTCAAGACAACCGTGACTAGTACACCCTAAAACTCACAGAGTACTCCCTAGCAACCCCACAACAACACCCTGGTCATTTCTTCAGATTACATAATGTATGTCTAAGTGATGTATGTGAAATCTAGTCCTCAATGTGGTTTTGGTGATATTTTATGACTTACAATTGGATAAGATATCCAAACAGAACATCATATTTAGCAAATTAATATTTCTGCACTTTAACAGAGCAATAATCATGCCCATTTATACTCTAGACAAAGGACCACAAAATGGACTAATGACATAATTTCCTTTAGCAATCACTCTGTCAGACCACAGCACATGCACCCATTAGAGTGGACAACCTCCTTTGATTTGTCTCATTTTTGATAATAATACATTAATGGACTGACATAAAAGCACTCACATCTTCTTTTGAGTACAATGGTAAAAACTGTACAGTATAAATAATTTCTCCTCTTTTCCTGCAGTCGCAATCAGCACATGGCACACACCCCATTATTTTGTTTTCTTTTATTTGACCTTCATTAATCAGGGTGGTCTCTGAGAGGAAAACAAAGGGAATGGGGAAAAGTGACGGGATAATAAAAAGAGAAATGAATGGGCTTTTCAAATCTCAAACACAATCCTGTTCCATATTTCACATTGTTCTTAGTTTTCTTTGAGTTATTTGTTCTCTGTAACCTTGTGCTAACCCTCATTCAAGTGTGATGCATTACTTAACCCCGGGTTGAAAATGGACTTAATTAGTGGTTGACCAATATGGGTTTTTACATGGTCAAAGCCAGTGGGATATCTAAAGAACAGGGTGGTTGATGGCTGATAAAGTCTAAGGATGCACAGATGCCGATACTGCGCTCCTGTACTCGTACTAGTACTCTTACTCGTAAAAATGCCCCGATACCAAAAGCCGATATCACACACACAGCTTGTGAACAGAGCTGTGTCCAGAAAAAGAAGCACAGACAACAGAACAACAGAGAGTAGAATGTTATTAGAGATTAAGGATGTTTATGAAGTACATGCAAGTAATTAATATAATGTTAAACGTTCAATATTCACGCCTGTTTAGCGGATGTGCTCGAGCTGATAAGCAAAGAGCGCTGAGTGGATTGAGTGAGCGGCGGCACAGATGCGCGAGCTTGTCGAGTGAATATCTCACAGACATCACTGGAAAGTTTGTAAGTCGGTCGGATATGTCAAAAGCAAGCAAGTAAAACAATGCACAAGTTACTTAAGTTATTTGACAGTAAGGAGAGGGAGAGTGCACACTTCTTGATTGCTGTTCGCTCTATAAGCGCATGCATTTGGATTAAAACTAAATCTTAAATATAAAACAAACAAATTATAGGGGCATTCACTTTAAACAACATTTATTTTAAACGTCAAGCATACACAATTGAAGCAAAAGTGAAACTAGCAGACTGTGTGTAATGCGCTAGCTGTAAGTGTCTCTCTCATTCTGCATCAATGCAAACGTGTGCGTGCTGCGCATGTTTAGCTTGCTTTAAAATGATACTTCAGTTTTTACTTGTACGCGAGGGTCCGCGTACAGTGCGTGTGACTTACATCACCAAAATAGTACGCGCGCACTCGTATAATGTACTGTATAACGAGTGGTTCCCTGCATTATTTTAAGAAAAACGTTTTGTGATTACAGTATTGAGCTGCTGCAGTGGAGTGCCATTAAAATGAACAGTGAAAGTAACAAAAGCTTATACAATACATTTTAACAGGAATAATTAAGTGTCGAAATAACAAGAAAATATCTGTTTGCTAAATGAAGCCAACGAACATGATTCATATTATTATTATTATTTTGTCTCTGTACCCAATATTTAAAAAAAATAAATAAAAAAAAGTAAATGATGTGAAAATACAGGTATCGATATCGGTGAGTACCAAAAATGAAAGTATCGGTATCAGACTTGTTCTGAAAAAAGTGGTATCAGTGCATCCCTACACAATTCAAATAACCGAACATTTTTCATTGACCATGCTGACCACTTCTTTTAATCAACCAGCTGTGCACAGTTCTCGATTGATGCCAAAAATATATAAAAAAAAGCCAAATATTGGTCGTTTAATCAGCCTAGTGGATAAGATATCTAGTATTAACATGGTTAAAAAAAGATACAGTGCTTAAAGTTTAATAGATTTCAGCTGTTTAAATTCAGAACAGCATCTGAGCAAATAATGTCTACATATGTTCTTTGGTAGAATCACAAATGTTTCTTTTAGAATAATTTTTTTGTTAGTTAATTAGCGGCAAGAGACATCTGTTAGTTACACTGCTATGATTCAGTCTGTTCATCTACCTCAGTTATTTTTCTCTTATTTTCTGTCTGTCATTCTACCAGCCATCCATCATTTGTGAAAAACAAAACAAAATAATTATATATATATATATATATATATACCGTTCAAAAGTTTGGGATCAGTAAGATTTTAAATATTTTTTACCGAAGTTTCTTTTGCTCATGAAGGCTGTATTTATTTGATCAAAAATACAGAAAAAATTATTACTGTTACTATAAACTGTTATTTTGTGAAATATTATTGCTATTTTTGTTAATATAATAGTTAATAAATATTATTAATATTATTGCTAATATTATTTCTAATTTTAATATACTTTAAAATATAATTTATTCCTGTGATGCAAAGCTGAATTTTCAGCATCATTACTCTAGTCTTCAGTGTCAATCATATTAGATAATTCTAATATTCTGATTTATTATCAATGTTGGAAACAATTGTGCTGCTTCATGTTTTTTGGAACCTGTGATACTTTTTTCAGGATTCTTTAATGAATATCATTTTTTTTTTTTAAATAGCATTTATTCAAAATGGAAATCTTGTGTTACAATATACACTACCGTTCCAAGGTTTGGAGTCCGTACATGTTTTTTCTTTCTTTTTTTGAAAGTAATGAATACTTTTATTCAGCAAGGATGTGTTAAATGGATAAAAAGTGATAGTAAAGATT